TTAAATAATTTGTACAATTATAATTATATATTTTATCATTTAGCTACAGTATGATGCACTAGTTTTTCATAAACTTGTGCATATCTCACTGCTTTTGTATGTAACGAAATCATGTAATTACAGAACTGGCCATTTTAATCATTAAATTTGATCCATAAATTCAGATAATATTAACATTTCGATATGAATATGAGGATAGGAATAACATGTGGGTATGGATGAACAAGAATCAAGGATGTTTGTCATTATTCAATGATATTTTCTTGAAATACTTCGTCAGAAAATGAAATTACATGCATCATGAAATACTAATAATATCTTATTCAGTATTCGATCAAGAACAATGTTTCTAATAATACGTTTCCATTCGATGGATTAGTAAATTAAGATACAGAATTAAGCAATAATTTTGATTGCTTATTCCATTGATATTTCACATAATCGAGATATTGTAAATACAGGACACTCTTTTATATAATTTACGTCTTGTATTACGTATAAATATTTGTCTAAATATATAAAATACAGAATGTTAATAAATGCAGTGCAACGGTAAAAATATCTCTTATTTGTAATGGAAATAAGTTAAAACGCTTGGTAGAGTTTCACTGTTACACGCGTACAAATAAACGATTCTAATTTAGTAGAGTGCATGAATCTTTGGTTCTTAAAAAATTTTTTAATTGCGTTTATACAAAGCTGTATTTACAATTAAATTGCATACATGTATAACTTTCATATAACAACGCGACACGTTTCTAGCGAAGTGACCTGTCCAATTTCATTTATTTATCGTCACGTTCTATATAAATGTTTATTGATTTTAAATATCTGGGTACTGTGAACTAGAAAATGACCTAGTCATGTTGTACGTAATGCATAAATAAGTACTGCAGTTTCTTTAATTTATACGGCAACAAAAATATATCGAAGCTTCTTGTCTTGGTTCGTGATTTTTTTCAATATTTATATAAATGTATTGAACGGTTTATGCACATGCGACTATTTATATTAGGATAATTATATACCATAAATGAGGGAACTATTTGTTTAAAGATGGATAAAGGATAACAGAGTTTGGGTGATAGTAATTATTATACAGGGCCGAGAGTGATACTGTATAATACTAAAAATGTTTGCTAATTTTTTTTGCTGACTAACTAATTTCGAATCGATTGTCGTTTTTATTTGACTTCGTTATTTAGAAAATGATTTCGCAAAATATGACTTTAGTAAGGTATTTAAATCTTCTTTCATAATATATTCCGTTCATTTTATTTACTTGGAGGTCGTATGTACGTGAATAGCAGGTAGAGAAAATGATGTTCGTTTACAGAAAAATTAAGCGTGCAAAAAATGCAAAAAATGTAGATAATGTACAAAAATATTACAGAACATCGAGTGTGTACTATGCATCATTATTTTTAAAATGTGATAGAAATTTCAATCTAAATTACATTTTTAAAAATGATATCACGAATATATTATTTTGCATAAAAGTTCGCAGTCTGTTGATGATAAACTTTATAAGATTCTGCAGCAACTTCGTAGATACCATTTAATGTTGTGAAAAAAGTTAATTCAACTAGATAAAAGTTGGAGTACACGAATACTGGTGTAACAATATAAGAAACGTAATAGAGGTTGAATCGGTAAACTAGCGCGCCTCGCCTAGCGTCGCGTCACTGTAAAAGGGCAGACGTGCGGCCGAGAGAATAGCACGCGTTTCCACACGCATAGATATTATATAGCACTCTACATCTGCACTATGTAGTATTCTCTGTAGTGGTTAGTAGAGTAAAGGTTCGTCTGTTCGTGTGTAGATACTCGTCATCTTTCACGGATCGATAATTTTCTTAAAAATCTTACAAATCCTTCCAATTCTATTGTTTATATTTTCTGGACACGAAATTTTCCTATGAATGCATAAAATTTGTAGTTTAATAAGGTTAAAAACAATTTGTATATTTTTAACATTAATGTCAGAGAGGAAATACCTCTTTGTTTTGTTGTGAAGACTGTTGACGTTTGGTGTTAACGTTACCCATTAGCCTGAGCATTTTATGCATTTATAGAAAAATTATATCTGCAGAAGGTATAAAGAATGCTTGCCGTGTACGAAAATACATAAAATGTTGGAGGATAAGCCCATATATTTAAATGATTAAAGAAATATCTATTTAAAATGCAATTTTTTAACTAAGGAATGTTTTATTTTACATTAAAACCGGCAGTGTACATATTATTTAGTTCTGTTCGTTATTTATACT